CAAGGATGGAAGCCGTAATATGACACCCATGGCACTAATAACAGGAGTCCAAAAGGGCTTCAATGAAGAAGAATTATTCAAAGCAATAAACATGGAAAATGAATTGGACTTACTCTTCGGCGAAGGCTGGGAGAAAGAAATGAAACGGGTGGGAGGCAGAAACTGCCGAAACCCCTTTAAAGAAAACATCATAATAACGGGGCCCACAGAAATAATCAAAACCATTCTGAAAAAGGGATACTTGTACCTGGACCTCTCAAAGAGCTACGTGGAGGAATATTTCTCAGTGATGCTTTGCTATAAATGCTGCAGATATGGCCACACAGCAGGAAGATGTAACGACACCGACGACACCTGCTACAAATGCGCAGGAAAACACAGTGGCACTTTATGCAGCAACACAGCGTATAATTGTGTGAACTGCCAGCGACTAGGACTACAGCTCAGATCACACGAAGCCAGGGATGTGAACTGCCCTGTATACAAACGCAAGCTAGACGACGCAAAGAACAGCATCGTCTACTAATCCCGGCCTCTTTTTTAACATATTACAATTTAACGCAGGGAAAGGCAAAAATGTCACCGACCAACTGATACAGCACATACAGAAACAAAACATCGACATAACATTAATACAAGAACCTTACCACAACACGACGACACCGACAGGCTACACTCTAATCAAAACCTCAGACAAAACTTAAGTGGCCATAATAATAAAGACAAAACTAAGGAACCAAATCTTGACAGACCTAACAAATAATAACGTCCTTACAATAAAAATAGAATACCAGAGTGTAGACCGCATCATCACAAACATCTACGACATAACAGGCGGCAACGTAAACAAGAGATTAGAACAATTCAAAAAGCGCATTAGTAAAATCAAACAACCCTTCCTACTAGCAGGCGACTTAAACGCCAAGAACGCCGCCTGGGGAGGAAACGAAACGGACAGACGAGGACAAGACATTATAGACTGGACAACTCAACTGGGTCTCAAAATCGAAAACGAACACGACAGCTTACCTACATTCAGGAACACTAGAGGGATAAGTTGGGTGGACTTGACGATCACAAACAAATTACATCTACAAAACTGGACTGTTACGGACGAAGAGACCTTAAGCGATCACGCATATATAACGTTTAAAATAAAACTCAAAAATACAAGAACAAGCACGACAAACACAACAAACTATGACCTACAAAACATCAACGAAAACAACATACAAAACGACTTACAGAACCACGACTGGACAATAACAGATAACATAGAAAAGACAGCAATCACCTTCACAAAAAACATACAATCATGAACAGAACATTAAAAAAAAACAACAAAACAACAACAAAAGAAGACACAAATCTGGTGGACACAAGACATTAACAAAGAACGGACCAAAACTAACACAGCCAGAAAAAAATACCAACAAGAATGGGACCCAGTTGGGAGACTCATACAAAACACAAAGACGGAACTACAAAAACCTTATCAAAAAAAAACTAAGAAAGACTCAATCCGCGAATTCTTAACAGACACTGACCACGAAAACCCGTGGGAAACAGCATATAAGATAATAAGAACAAAAACAACACAAGACAGGACTCTAAGGACATTACAAAAAGATGACGGAACATGGACCAACAGCATCGACGAGACCATTTACGCCGTACACGACAAATACTTTCCAAAAGACGACGTAAACACACACACACAGATATACGCAACTACAACCCGCCCAATCCCATTACACTAGACCTTCCCTTCACATCCCAAGAGATAGAACGCACCATATCGGCAATGAAAAACAAAAAAGCCACCTCAAAAGACAAAATCCCAAAGGAAATAGTCAAGATAATTAACACAACTAACCCTAACCTATTAAACACACTATATAATAATTGCCTAAGCAAAGGATATTTCCCAAAAATCTGGAAAATTGCCGATATGGTGTGGCTACCCAAGAAAAACTCCGATATGCCTCTTACCCACCCTAGGGAAAATCCTCGACAAACTACTAGCAAAACGACTGACTTACCACCTGGAAACGACAAGACAGATAGACAACAGACAATACGGGTTCAGGGAGGGGATAACTACAACTGACGCAATACAAAACATCACAAAGACAATTCAACAAAATAAAACAAAAAAAATACACTCGGTAGCCATAGCTTTAGACATGAAGAACGCATTTAACTCAGCATGGCTACCGATGATCAAAAAAAGATTAACAGACACTAACGTACCGAAAAATATCGCCAACCTTTGTAACAACTTTTTAACGGACAGACAAATACAAACAGACAACATCATCACTCCGACACAACGAGAGTGCCCACAAGGATCGAGCCTCGGACCAATCCTCTGGCTCCTCCTTATGGACACCTGGTTTAAGACATTAGACGACACGGACATATTAGATGAAAACGACATGGTCCAAGCTTTTGCAGACGATCAAATTATAATAATCTCGGGCACATCTCTAAATAAACTTGAAACCAAATGGAACAAAATATGGGCAGCCTGCGAAGCTTGAGCCATGACGAACAAACTTACGTACAACAAGGCAAAGACAGTGACCATGTTTATACCTCACAAACGAACTCGAGACCCCAGACTAAAGATCGGATTAGTGGACGGTGATGGATCTAACGGGATTCAAAAACCCATCTAGTGCGCCAATTGAGCGGAGCAGCGACGCATCCCTGAGTTTTAAAAATAAAAAAAAAAGTGCGCGGATAATCAAGTGTGCCGGGTCCGACCAGTGCGCGGATTAGTGCGCGAAACAAAATTCCCAAATCCTACCAATCCCAAAATATGTTCACCTACTATAAGACCCCTGCTCTTTTCTGTCAAAACTGCACCGAATTGTATATGAAAAATGTTATTTTTATTTTATTTTACTGTACATTTTACTATGGATATTGTCTATTTTCTGTTTACTTTTATACACACTGTACTGTACATTTGGGGAAATAAATAAAGCACAACGGTCTTCTTCCTTGCTCATTTTTGGAGTGAGGAGATGGGATGGGTTCCCTTGACAGTGGCTTCGCTCGGAGATTGGGAGGAAAACCCTATGCCGAAAGGTAGGCGGGCGTGCTGCGGTGGGAGGTGCCTAAAAAACACCTCTCTTCGCCGCAAATCATTTCTCGTGCCCGTCCAATCCGCAATAGTTTATTTTTTCTCTTTTTTTGTCTCCGCTCCGTTTGAGTTCGACCGACCTTCCGTACCGTTCTTTATTGTATCATGATATGTTCCGTCTGCCCACCAAAGATTGGCCGAATGTTTTGGGAAAATTCCTGTTGTTTTAGTGTTATGGATTCGGATACTTCCTTTGATGTCTTAAGTCTCTCTGGTTCCGTCCTTTCTGAGGAGGCACCGCTCTCCGAAGAGAATCTCGTACCCGTCGTTGAAACCTCGAAGGTACCTGTCCCGGTCATCGTTGCAGATTTCACTACTCCTCCCCCGAAACTTGCCACATGGCATACTGATTCATATGTGGTGGACAGGTATGTGAAGGTCACCCACTCTAGTTCTCGATAATCCGACTTCCAGGCAGAACCGTCTGTCGGGGAACCAACCGCCAAGAAGCCCCGTCCCCTTAATGATGCGATTCATCTACCGGTACACCGGGATCTGTGTTGGCGATGTGGATACCCAGGCCACCATAGAATGGCTTGTGATCGAAAGCTGTTGTTGTTTTGCTCCCATTGTGGATTGGTGGGTACCATGACCCGAGACTGCACGTGTGTTTCTAAACCGGTCCAACCCAAAGTCTCTGCTCCAGCATCGTCTGAGAAATTTCGCTCCATTGGTGTGCAGGTGGAGCATTGAGAGCTAATGTTATTTCATTTACACATCTGCTCACTGATGACTGTGACAATGCAAAAAATGTAGTCTCTCACGGTACCCTGGTAAGATCCAGTTGCGTAGAAATGCAGTGCCATAAGAACCTAGAGAACATAATAAAAGATTATCAGAAAATACATTTAAATGATTTGTTTCGAAACAGTAAAATGTTTCGAAATGCCCATCACTAACTAAGACGGAATCGGGTTCGAGGTTCGAGACTGGGGTTCGAGGTTCGAGACGCTGGAATCGCTGGTAATATTGGATAACTGTTCGGTGATCGTGTCGATTTACACGGGTGACGCAATAAGCAATAATTATTGAATACACGTGAGTCGCAGTAGTTGCTGTGTTCGGTGTTTTGTTTTTAAACGTTTCGGCGCGGCAAATTTTATTCTCAGTTATTTCCGTTTTATTTGTGTTACGTCTTAAAATCTTTATTATTGACGTATGTTTTCTGAAGTATTAAACAAAAATAAGGTGGGGTTAAGACATTTAATAGCATAAATATTTTTTATTTTGCATTAGGTGAATCGGGCACGACAATTTTTTTTGCATAATATTTTAACAATGTGATGCCCGAGCGTGAAAAATATAAATAAATCCATCTTATAAAAACAAATTAATCGCAGAAAACAATAACGCTTGAATATAATTTATCTTTGGGAAATGAAAAAATGAAAATACTTGCTCAAATTTAAATTTTTGCACGAATTTTCCTTCTTTAACTTCCAAAGATAAAGTAATCACTTCGTATACTTATTTAAGAAAGCAAGAACTTAAAATAAAATCATCAGTAGTATGGAACCTTTTTATCAAAAATAGTAAAGACGAGGCACAGTGTTCTATTTGTAAAAAAATTATTAAGTATTCTGGAAGTACGACCAATTTAAAAAAAGATTTATCAAAAATGTATCCAATTTAATACAGACAGACAAGAAGTGGAAAACGAGCTGGAAACTGAAGAAAATCATAAATTAAGTAAAAAACCTTTCTGTTACTACAGACATATGGACGTCTTCCAGCAATAAGGCATACTTAAGTCTCACATGCCATTTTGTACATAATAACAAATTAAGATCTCAAGTTTTATCCACCAACGAAATTTCAGGGACACACAGGTGAAAGTGTTGGCAAAGCAATGAATGTCATTTTAAATGATTGGAAAATTACAGAAAAGGTTGTTACCATTATTTCCGATAATGGAAGTAACATTAAATGTGCAATAAATCAATGTATCCAGAAACATAATCATCCATGTGTCGCTCATACTCTAAATGTATGTGTTACATATAAAGAAAATGAAACGTTTTCTTTAATTTTAAAAAAATGTAGAGCTCTTGTAACCCATTTTAATCACAGTGTTCTGGCAAGCGAAAAGTTAAAGAATACTCAAGAACAAATGGGGTTTTCTGTCCTTAAAGTAAAACAAGATGTCTCAACGAGATGGAACTCCAGTTTAATAATGCTGGAAAGACTTCTAGAAATTAAAAATGCCCTAAGTATTATATTATCCGATTTACCAAAAGCTCCTGCCAGTTTGGATGCGACGGAATGGGCCATTATTTGGGATTGTGTTCCAGTGCTTAAACCAATTGAAGTTTTGACATCAATATTATCTGCAGAAAAGTATGCAACGATATCTTTAATTGTCCCATTAATTAGAGGTCTTCAACATAGTCTTAAGCACATAAACACAACAACGGAGGTATGAATCCAGTTAAAGAACTCACTAATTGATGTAGTAAGTCGCAGAATAGCGCCTCTAGAAAGAGATAAAATTGTAGCAAGGCTACATTGTTAGATCCTCGGTTTAAAACAATAGGTTTTGGACTCGAAGAAAACGCCACAAATGCAGAACTGTGGTTAGTAGAGGAAGTCAAACAAATTATAAACCGAAATAATTATAATAATAATAATAGAACTCAAGAAAGTAAACCATCAAAAGAAAATTTGTTAGTACCAGCATCAGATCCCAGTAAAGATTTATGGTCTTTCTTTGACAACAAAATAGTGCAAAATAAGTTTGCATCTACAACGGCTATGTTAAACGCAAAACAATAATGTCCGTTTGAATTATGGTAACAACAGAAACATGTACTTTATGAGTTAGCTCAGAAATATTTATGCGTTCCTGGAACATCTGTCCCATCAGAACGAGTATTCTCTAAAGCAGGACAGTTAATAAATATACGCCGAAATCACTTATTTCCAAAGAACCTTAACCAAATAATTTTTATAGTTTATTTTAACAATTTGCTTAAAATATTTTAGTTCGTTTTTATTTTGTCAAAATATGTTAGTATTAATAGCAAAACGTTTATTATTTATTTTTGTTATTCATTTTAGAATGTTTTATTTGAACCCGAGGTTTTCCGTTTAAAAAATCTTAATAACAATATTTTTTTAAACATTATTAAAAAAATTCAAAATAAACTTTTGTCTTCGTTTATACTTATACTTAAAAATCCTTGTAAAAACTATAAACCTTTCTTGCTAAACCGTGAAAACAAATCGTTAAGTACTCAGTACTCGATTCTTAAAAATACCAGATTCTTCTCATCACTACTCTGTACCGTACTGTTCATGCGCAGTCTCTGAATAGTGTTTGTGCTTCAAACAAATTGTTTTAAACTGTTCACGTCCTGGGTTTGTGTTTTCACTTCGGATTATCCTGGATGATTTTAAACAATTGTCGACGCATGCGCTTTAAATTATTTGAAGTTAAAGTTAGAATTGTTAAAAGTTAGGTTAGAGAGAGAGACTTTTCATAAATTACAAGCAATTTTCTTTTCTATTGGTTTTATTTTAAATAATGGATTCTATTCTTCGTCTTCGGGGGATGAAGAAGTATTCCTAAATATTATATTGCCTGCAATTCTGGGAGTGGTCCAAAAAATAAAGATTTCATGGTGAACTAGTTTAGAGATGCTGAATTTATTACTCAATTCACGTATGATATATTTCTTCAACTAATTATTTCGATTTATATAAATGTTTATTTTATGATACTCATTTTTTATCGTTTCTCCATGTTTGTAGGGTTCCCAGATATATAGTCTAGGACCTGGCAAGTAAATTGGAAACATCAGAATTCTATTCAAAAGTTGATACTGGCTTTGAACGGATTCCTGCTAAAACTTGTATATTGATATTTGTCTGATATGCAGGTCGTGAATCAATCAGCTTCATTTAGGGATGTGGTTGATTGTTTCAATATAACAATTTATAAATTACATAACAAATATTTTAAATATAGTAAAAAAACACTTTCTCAAATTTTGAAAAGGTTTCCTTTGAAAAATTCAATTTTTTCAAAGTTGGAATTTATTGATTCAAATGTAGTCATGGGCAGAAAAAGAAAAATTAACAGTATCGCAGATGTCTGTTCATTTTTCTAATTTAGTAGGTGGTTGTAACATTCAGGATATCGACAACGAATGGAGAATGTTAAGAAACCTAAATTTAAATGAGTTTAATATAACCGTTAATGACGATGTCCTAGAATTTTGGCGCAAAATTTTGAAAATTAAATTGGGTAATGATCAACAAAAGTTTTTTAATTCAATCAAATTTGTTCTTAATTTATTGTGCCTTCCACATTTAAGCGCAAATGTAGAGCGATGTTTTTCTCAAGTTAACTTAAAACAGCTTCACAAAATCGGTTCCAGTCTAATACTTTAGAAGGAATACTTCTTACGAAAAGCTTAGTTTCCCATAATGATACATACTGCGACTTTAAAATTAATCAAGAATTAACTAAGAACATGAACAGGCAAAGAACAAGATGACTCAAATTCTTCCTCAAATGAATAAATATTTACTTATTAATGTTTAACCATTTTTTGCGTATGTGTATATAAGATTAGTTTTTTCACTTAAAGATTAAATAAATAGACTAAACTAAATTTTATTTTATTTTAAATTGATTTTAAAGTTTGTACCTTACTCAATTTGAATAAAGATTAAAACTATATTTTAAAATTTTGTGATTTTATTATTTTTTATTTTATCCGAGTCAAAGCTAAGAGTGAAAAAAATTATTTTTGTCTTTGTCTATTATACGTGTTAGAACGGTGCTGGGAATCAAAAATCGGCAATTATTTTCCCTTCCCTAGGACAGAGCAAATAGGTACTAAAAAGTGTCTGGATACGATGAAGTCAAAGAAATTTTTGCTTCACCCACTTACGCAATGAATATTCAGACGTCCTTAAAACAATGCTGTGACATTGCCATTTTAGTTACTTTGAAACGAAAATTTAACCAATTAACGGTATCTACAGCGGAAGCAGAATCAAATTTTAAAACATTTAAACAATTATTAGAGGATGCTTGGAGATTTGAGATATCCACAGTTGCTGCTGCAGATTTAAACGTGAAGAAGTGGAAAAAGCTGACTATTCTACCACTCGCAAGTGATCTAAAGTTGTTAAGAGAATATTTATTAAATAAAGCAGACCAAGCGATTAAAAATTTGCAAAGCAACGGAAATAGCCTTAAGGATTATAAGTTATTAATGGAGACTATTTTTTGCCGTTTAATATTACTTAATCGTAAAAGAGTAGGTGAATTGGAGAGAATGCCACTTCACGTATATTTACAAGCAGAAACTCATCAGACTTACGAAGAATTTTCTCAAGCAATTACACCTACTGAACAAATATTATTACATACATTTAAAAGAGTAATTCGTGGAAAACGTGGAAGAGGAGTACCTGTACTTTTTAGTACAGACTTACAGAAACACACTTCCGGTTTGACGGATCTAAGAAAACAATTTGTGGAAGATTCAAATACATTCCTATTTCCGAAACTTGGAACGAAAAATCCTATAACCGGATATAAAATTATGGAAAAACATGTAAGATTGAGTGGTGTGAAGAATCCTGCCGCAATCACATCAACAAGATTGCGAAAACATCTAGCGACTTTAACTCAAATCTTTAACATGTCACCAAATGATATCGAACAGTAAGCCACTTTCATGGGGCATACTAATGATGTACGTAAACAGGTTTATAGATTGCCTGATGACATATATCAAACGGCAAAAATATCCAAATTGTTAATGTTAATGGAGAAGGGAGAAGCAGCTGCATTCAAAGGAAAAACTTTAGACCAAATCGAGTTGAATATTGAAGAAGAAAGAGTAGAAGAAGACGAAATAAGTGAATCAGAATCAGAATGCGAAATTGATGTGATTCCAACTTATACTAATAACAACAACGTCCCTACAGATGTATCCGCCCCTAAAAAGAAAGGTCGTACTTTGGTTCCGTGGACAACAGACCAGAAGAAATTGACAAAAAAAATTTTTGTGGATCACATTAAAAATAAAATTCCTCCTAAAAAAATGGAATGTGAGAAACTAAAATCTGAAAATCCAAATATTTTTGCTAATAAAACATGGCCACAAATTAAAGTTTTTGTTCAAAATATATACCGTCACTAACAGTATATACAGGGTGATGTAAAGAATATGGCCAAACTTTAAGGTGCTATTCCTTACTCAATTTTAAGACAAAACGTTCGTACAAACATAGCTCATAAACGACTTTATTTTCAAAATATGGGACATTGAAAAATACAAAAAACCATGTTTTTCCGTAATAGCTAGAAGATGAAAATAATTAAGTAGTTTAAAGTTTCAACTGGACACTATTTTTAGTTTTCTAGTTATTTAAGAAAAAAATATTTTTTTCGTATTTTTTATACCCTATATTTTGAAAATATAGCTGTTTTGGACATACATTTATATGAACTTTTTGTCTAAAAATTTAGAAGAGTATAGCACCTTAAACCTTGGCCACATGCGTAATGATTACCGTGTATTTATTAGGCTAAATAGTTAAATGTTTGTTTTATATTTCAGAATTTTGTATTTTTTTCCTCTTTATTTGGTTGCTACTTTTATCAATAAATCAATTTTATTTCATTCCTTATTCTGCGTTTGTTTTTATGCTTTGGAATTAAAAAAAATATTCTATTTATTCTATTAGTAGTTCAAATAATTAATTCGATCGGAGTGAAAATATAAATCAAAATCGACATCGGACATTTTCTTTGGAATTTTTTCATATTGTTAAAAAACATCCACGTAAGTTACTGAAAAAAACACCAAATGTAAGTACCTACAGTACGTATAAAGCATTGCCGACTTATTTTTAATTATCGCAAGATACTTTATAACCAGAAAACATTTACTTGTATAATAACTCTAAATCAAAACTTATAACTCAATTTGTAATAAACTAGATCTCACCTTCCAAAAAAATAGCTTACTTGCTCGAGTATTCATTGTAATATGTACATCAACTGAATTCGACGTGAGTAAAATTGAATAAAATTATAACACCAAGGCCAACTTTGAATATAGTGAACACATGTCATCCAATTTATAAATCATATCAATAATATATTACTGACCTGTTGAAATATAAAAAAAATTACACACACAATACGTAAACGTATTGAATAAATTAATATATGCTTCATCAAAAAAAAAAAAAAAAAAATATTTGACCAGAAAGAAGGACATAATGAACTATTAATTCCCGCTTCTTAAATTTAAATGAATATCAAACGTATCTCTTTAATTCGAAATGATAAATATGGCATTGACAACATCGCTGACGCAACAAAATCTGGCCTGCAAACAAAAATACCTATCAAAGATGCAGAACTGTTGTCTTGCTGAAACATAATATACTCTGATGTCGTAATGATGGTTACATATATTGACGCAACAATGTAATGAAAATGCTTACAAAACAATATTGTTCTTTTTTTGAGTATATAAAAAAGCAAGATGGTAGATAGTTTGTCATACCTATTTTATACTCTATTTTGAATAGAAATATGTATTATAATGATAATAATTTTTTTTTATTTATTACTTTGATTACTTTGGAATTATACCTTTTTTTTATCATATAAATAAATATTTTTGCACGAATTTTTTTCTTATATCATCATATTTACCTGTCATCTACTCTTATCTCAGGGTCAAAGGTGAGTTCCATTGGGTCCTACTTGTGAATACTTACTTGTTAATTTGTATAGTTTTTTTTTATGTGAGAAAAAAATTTTTTTTTTTAAATCAATGAAAACAATTATTTGAATAACGGTACCAAATTATTTTATATTTTATTCAATTCATGTAACTGTAAAATTCACGAATTTTAAACAACATAAATTACTTTATAATTATTTTATAATTATTATCGCAAGTGCGTCTCAAATTGCTGGATCCAGACCTGTAGTCTGCAAAGAACGCCAATGTATACCAATCCGTGAAAGTAGGATGAGTAGTACATAAAATAGATGAGTTTTACTTGTCTCGGAGTGGCAATTGGCGCGCTAATTCGACCAAAAGAAATATCAAACTTAAGAATTAAAATTTTACAACAAAATGGCTGATGCACAACGTGTACATAAATATCCGGAGAGGAATTACTCAGTTTGTGTGTGTTATTTAGTTAGTTCACTTTTAAAAAGAGTTTTAAATTGTTTATGAATGTGAAATGGATTGTTTGTTGATATTATCGCCGTGAAATACTAGAAAATTTCTTATTTCGTGACCAAATTATTCTGAAATCACTTATGACTTCGAAATGTCGTGGACTGGTAAGTTATAATTTGTTTATAAATCTTACTCAACTTGTAGTATTTTTCCTTTCAGACAGTAACCATATGTATCAGGAACAATTCTGTGCAGATTTTTGATGTCTTGCGTATTTATTTTTTTATTATTAAACATTTTTTTTTTCTATCAAACAATTTTTTACTTTTTTACCTCCTCGCATCGGGCTTATTGATTTCTCCTCCTTCAGTTTTTTTCGTTGTCCTGGAGATTTTTTTTCTAGAATCTTTCCACAGGCATTCAGATATCTTTTTTTTTTATTATTTTTTCATAATGACCATTTTTGTCCTAACCACACTTTTTTTTTGTTTATATCACTTTCACTTTATTTTAATCTTAAAATTAATTTGTACAATTATTACTAACTACAATTCATATTTGTTTCAATAATTATAAAACAATTTTCTATTTTACAAATCTGGAATTTATACCAGGCGTGGAATTTCTTTGTTTATTTTCAATTACTAATGTTTATTTTTCATTTTTATTTTTAGGTACCAAGAAATTACGTATTAATATGGAGAAAATTACCTTAGAAGAAATACTTTTTGATATTATTGGACAATGATGTCTTATTTATGATGAATATTTCATAGGAAACAAAGACTTATTACAACTACAGTAACATCCAATGCGAACCAGTTCATTCCCTTTGCTTTGGGCTTAAATTAGATGCCTCTATATGGATTACTAGGTACGTTTCTCTATAATAACTTATTTAATTTAAATATGATGATTTACAGATTAAAATTCATGCATATTTCTATACTTTAATTCACAATTATGATCACTATTAAATTGTTCTGTGCACCGTTAATGGTTATTTGCTTATGCCACTTCTTGTGTTTGATACATAACACGATAGTATATACTCCATTCCTTCTGGTTGACGCATAAATGTAACAAGGATAAAATGATGCAGAAATGATACATTATTTTTTTTTGAACTAAATATGCATTGAAGAATCATGCTAGCGCAGTTGCTGCGTCATCATAAAAATTGTAATAAGAGAGTTAAAAACATTTTTGGGCGGATGTCAATTGAACCTATTTTTCTATACAGTTATGACTTCAACCTGGCATCAAAAAGAACAATTAACCATCGTTCGTCACTGAGTTGCACGCGTTTGTAATTCTGCGTCAATATATTGACGCAACAACGCGGTTGACGCAGAAATACATGCAAAAGACATAATGTATTGACGCAAAAACGTAGGTGGGATATATATATATATATATATATATATATATATATATATATATTTATCCAACCGACGTTAGTAGTCCAACGATATTCATCAGACAACCTTAGACCCTCTAGAAATAATAGGTTATTTAAAATATATAATTTAAAATTCCGTTAATTATCAATTTACAATCACAAGCAACAATAGAGGGGTAAACAAAACTAAAGTTAAATATTTTTGACATAGTTAACAATCGTTAAGAGGTCCGACATATCCAACAGTCCTTTCAGTCAAATAGATACAAAATGTAAGTACTTCACCGACCTTACCAGACCACGCAACGTTGCCAATTGGTAAGTAGGTACGCGGGATTGAAAACACATTTCAACATATTGCATGAGTATATCTTTGGCATTCAGCGATAAAACATGTATCGTGGAAAATTGCTAGTAAGACTCGTCAGATAGTTTGATATGGCGCTGAGAGAAATTATGAAAATGTTTTGATTTTTTCCGTATTTCTTGTAAATTTTTAAGTCATTAGTTTTATTATTATTATTTATTTTATTTACAAGTCTGTGTAAATCTAAAGTTCCGCATAAAATCGTTTTGGGCAAAGGATTTTTCATGTTTATTTTTATAATATTTAAATGATAAAGAAGGCAGCAAAGCACCTAGGTAATTATACTCTTTACATAGTAGTGAAGAGTATTTAGGTTTACTTTAGAGAAATCAAATTTTTTATTATTGATCCAAATTAATTTTTTTTTACGATAGTCAAGAACGAAAATTTTCAGGAAAAATAAGCTTTATAAGAAGACAAGGCCTATTGTTTAAAAAAAAAAATTGGGGTAAAGGGCGCTTGAGATATTAAAAAACTGAAAATGAAACAACTTAAAATTTTCAGAAAAATGTGTGTGCGTGCGTGTGTTTGGGTCTGTGTTTGAGTTGGAGTTGAAGTTGGAGTTGGATGTGGAGTTGGAGGTGGAGTTACGGTTGGAGTTTTTTTATTTATAATAAAGAAAAAAGTGAGTGAGTAATGAGAAAAAAGTGTCCCGTTTAAAAATAAGATTTTTATACCTCCTAGATTATAGCTATTTTTGGACCTACATCTACAGATTCTTCAATGTTTGCCAGAAGATAGGCCAACAGAAAAAGTTTACCACTATCTGCAAAATGTTTCTAAAGCTGCTACTAAAACAAACTTGGAAAATATTGATCCTTATGAATTTGAAGATGAAGAAATTCATGACTTTGGAAATGTGAGTTGCACAATTTCAAAACCAGATATAGTGTACGAGTTTTCTCCCGAAAATGAACAATTTTTTGAAAAGAACATTTCAGATAAATACGAACTTAATAGAGATTTATATATAAAGAATAAAAACAAAATTTTGATTTTGGAAGACGTTGTTTATCTAAACCAGTAAACTGTGAGTCAAATACCGTTAAGAAATTTAACTTGATTAAAATTCATCCTTATGAATTTGAAAATGAAAAAATTCATGACCTTGATAATGTCAGTTGCACAGTTTCAAAACCAGATACAGTGTACGATTGTTCTCTCGAAAATGAACAACTTTTCGAAAAGAACGTTTTAAATAAATACGAACTTAATAGAGATTCATATAAAGAGAATAAAAACAAAATCGTGATTTTGGAAGACATTGTTTTATCTAATCCAGTAAACTATGAGTCAAATACCGTTAAGAAATTTAACATTGATTCTAAAGAGACCAATTCGCAAATGTCTAACTACAGTAACTCAGATACTGATTATTTGCCACCAACAGATTCATCAAATTCTTCTTTAAAAGAGAGTAGTGATGATGCCAATTTCTTATTAGTCAATAAAAATACTGAAGAAAATAATTCGATGTATGCCAGAGATATAACAACTTCTCAGGTATTTTTTTAATATTTTTAAGCGGGAGAGGGCTAGCGAAACAAAGACATTTTAGTCTTGTGTTAAATCTATCAATCAATTGATTTTACCTAACAAATAGTATTTAAAACATAAAATATAAAAGTAAAAATAGGTTTTTTCTCCGATCGCCCTTAAATCTCAATTTTAGTGACATTTCTCGATCATTTAAGTAACACTTTTAATGCCTAGGCATTAAAAATCATTTTTACTGCCCAGACATTAAAATTCTATTTTTAAAGCTATGCTTGTGGGGTGGGGGAGGTAGGTTTTTGACCATTTTATAACATTTTTTACATTTTTTTTTTATTTTTTTTATTTTTTTCAATTTTTTATTTGCCCATTTTTTTATTTTTTTTATTTTTTAATTTTTAGCCTTATAAGCTCCTATATGTGTATTTAATCAAAAATCATAAAATACGATTAGAAAAAATAATACTAAAAATTAAGTGAATTATATCCGTTATACTTAAAAGGGATTTTTATTTTTTTAAACACACAGTATAAATAATCGAAGAAAAAATTATGTTTCACATGGCAGAGAAACAGATCTACTGCCTTGGCTAGTTTCATTGCTTCGGCTTCACCGCGGCAGTAAATCTGTTACTTCTCTGTCTAGTTAAACAAATAACTATTTTTATTAAATCTTTAACTGGTATTACAGAGTAGTTTGCAAAAAAAAAAAATTAAAAACACTCAAATTTGACGGGTATCTTATGTATAGAATCCAAGTAGTGTATAATAAATAAAACAGTTATTGTAAAATCTCAAAAACTGTTTCGAGCGAACACACATGGAATACGGTATAATAGTTTAATTAGGCTATAGTTAGTTTACTCAAACATTTTTTGATTATTAACAAACAATGAAAATATTATTTTCCTAGATCTATTTTAATATAAATATATATAGAGGGTCAATTTAAAAACTTACAATGGGCAATATCTCCTGAACCAAAGAAAATATAAAAATTGCTTGAAACAGGGTAATTTTTATTCCATCCTTATCAGTCATACGTAATCTCCTTTCCTTTGTCACCCTATTAAATTTTTATAAAAAAAATTTAAAGTTTAGCTATCTTTATTATCAAAGTTCCTATTTATATCTTAGTATTTAATAATATACTGCTAATATTTCTTAATTTATAGGCCACTACTCCTCTTAAATCGTAATAGATATATAAGAATTGAACGACTAAAATCTTACTTTTTTATATTATACTTTATATATTTTCTGGCAAAATCACTTTTTTAGTATTAATCTCATTATTAAAATAATTAACACATATTTTTTTTATATTATTACGCAAATACTACTTTTTTCATTGGAGTAGTAGTTTATAAATATCAAGATAGTATCATATTCTCGAAAAACACAGAAAACTGGATTATTTTAACGTTTTAATTTACACTAATTGGGCATATACATCTAGTCAAAGAATACTTACCAAATTTCAACATTGACCGAAAATGTATACAGTGTGGCTCATATTAAGGGCGTAAAATTAAATAATATTTTAAAACCTTCCTTATAACTAGACGAATAGAAATTAAGAGATGAAATTTGGCGGAGCTTTTCACCCTTTCATAAGTGAGGTGTGGGAGCATGAATTTTAAAAACACTCTATTTTTAATACGATTTTAAATGATTTGCTTATCTGTATTTTAAATGTTAATAAACCCAAGGAAATCGTATTAAAAATAAAGCGATTTCAAAACCCATGCACCAATACCTCAATAATGAAAGAATGAAAAGCTCTGCTAAATTTCAGCTCTAAATTTCTATTTGTCTGGTTACAGGATTTTTTAAATATTTAATTTTACGTCCGTAATATGAGCCACACTGTATACATTTTTGCCCAGTGTTGAAATTTGGTAAGATTTTTCTGACTAAATGTATATGACCCATCAGTGTAAATTAAAACCTTCAAATAATCCAATTTTAAGCTTTTCTGTTTCTTTTTTCGAGAATAAGGTACTATAGTATACTCTTAAATAAGATTCAGATACCTTTCCTTTCAAGGTAATAAAAACTAATTTATTTCAAATATTATTTTATATAAAATGACCATTAGTTATATTTAAAATCCTTCAAATAAAAGTTTCATTTGATTTGTATACAGTTTTAAATAGGGTCTAAAAACGTATTGGGGCCATATCGGCCTAAATTATATACACAACGCATCTACAAAAATTAAACAATATCTTGAACAGAAATAAAATGTTAAGTTTACAACGTTGCCATTATTTGGGTCTGAAATAGTCAGCAGAACATGTTCACATGATATACAATATACAGCTGCGATTCATGCTCCCTCTACAGAACAGACTGGAGAACTAAGTTTGTATAAAATATCTCATAAAACCGTTTTATGGGTCCAAAAAAAAAAAATTCCCTCCAATTTTAAAATGACAAGGGGGTCAAGAGAAGTCGATTAACAAGGAAAACGTTGAGAGACCATTTTGTGGGTCTGACAACGTCACTTTTGGACTGGTAACGCAGGTAGAATGTAGCATTTTGGGTCTGTATAAGCGGTTAAATAAATAAATATATATATATATATATATATATATATATATATATATATATATATATATATATATATATATATATATATATATATATATATATATATATATATATATATATATAAAATAAGTAATTCCCCTTCAAGGAGCTGTGAGACCTTGCCGTTGGTAGATGGGCTCAGTAGCTGCGATTCCAAGAGCGATGCCGGCGGGAGCTTGTACTCCTGGTAGGGCCACCCATGCCGGCAAGGTCAAGGATGACTAGTGAAGCCAAAGACAGCTCAAAAAACCCGTAACCTAAGGTGTTAACAAGCGTGCCGATGGGTGAATGGCCATACGTAGTTGGTCGCTAACGGTGTACTCCGGATATCTGGTGCCCTCCGGTTTTAGGTAACCTTGCTTCCGCAAGCCTGCTCTGCGGCGGTGGACCTCCTTTCAGGGCTACTCGTGGGATTTAGATTAGCCTTAATATTTCAAATCTTGCCCCTGTTATAGATCGTGGTGCTGGATCTTCAACCAGTAATAACATGCACCAAAAACACTTGATTTGAATCAGGAGACGGTGGTCCAACCTCGGTTCCTGATCGTCAAAAGAAAAGAAGACGAATTTGCAACTGTAAATCCCTTCTTAATTCAGCAATTTGTATATGGAAGATTCGGACAAGTCAAAAACCTAAAGAATATTAAAGATGGTCTACTGATTGAAACTAAGTAATTCAGCTGCTCAATCAAAAGTAATGTTAACCATAAATACATTTCTAGATTATGAAGTAGAAATTATACCACATTCTAAATTGAATCAATGCATTGTACATTGCAAAGACCTTTTAAATTGTTCAGAGCAAAAAATTTTAGATGAATTAAAAAATCAAGGAATAATCGATGTTAAAAGGATTAAAAGTAAACGAGATAGTATTTTGGTAGACACACCCAGTCATGTTTTAACATTCAATACTCCTAAGCTACCCAAAGAAGTTAAAGTTGCCTTCTATTTGTTGAAAGTACATTTCATACCATCATCTCTTCGATGTTTCAGATGTCAACGTTTTGGACATGCAGCTGTTAGTTGTTCTAAAGATCAAGTGTGCGTATGTGACAAACCTTCACATATTGGAAATCCTTGCGAACACCCGATAAAATGCGTAAACTGCGAAGGCCCACATCCAGCTAGATCAAAAGATTGCCTAATATATAAACAAGAATATGCCATCCAAGAACTAAAAGTTAAAGAAGGACTGTCTTATATAGAAGCAAAAAGAAAAATAAACATAAACACCCCTAAACCTAATACTTCCTACTCCCAAGTAACTACGTTTCGTCCATCCGCTCCTGTTCCTACCGTAAACACACAGGAATTGGTAAAAAATCTACTGACACATTTAATTAGTACCTTGAAGATCTGTTTTCAGACAACACATCCAACGTAGCAAATTTACCAACCACCTGAATCACAAGAACAATTGTCGCAGGTAATAGATTCTGAATCTGAGTCTACAACTAGTAAAAACACTACAAAAACAACAAGTACCACCTGAAAAAGCACTAAGAGAAAGAAAACAAAAAGGAAAGGTGATTGGCAGTAGAAAAACAATGGACCCTGACGTACCCCTCCCTAACCCTGAAGCATCATCTTTAAAAGATGATATTCAAACCGATCCTGCTAGTAAATCGCTTGGCCATACTTCAGCAGAAGACAATTAACTGTGATACCTCTACTTCCGAGGTATGGAGAAAAATCAAAACAATACCAGGGAAAAATAAGCATATAACCCCAGAGACATTCGTGGTGAAATAATTACAGAAATTCCAGATATAAGCGAAGCTTTTGCTGATAATTTCCAATCTATCTGTAGTTCAACGAACTAATACATAGAATTTCAGAGTCTGAAAAAAGAGAGAAAAGTCTAGATTTTAATTCTGACGGTGACCTAAATTATAATGTCATTTTCACAAAAGAAGAATTGGAACATGCTCTTAGCAAAGTGCCGCGGGTCATGACTTAATTATTTATGGAATGATAAGACATGCCTCACGAGTCCAATATAAATCTAGTCAAATTTTATAACAAAATTTGGCTTTCCAACACGTTTCCAAAGAAAAAGGGAATTATCGTCCCGATCCCAAAAGATAGTGTGGCTTCATCTGACCCAAAAAATTACCGTCTAATTTCTTTAACCTCTTGCTTTGGAAAATTGTTTGAGAAAATGGTAAACTTAAGACTTACCTGGGTTTTAGAATCTAATCACTTTTTCTCTAAACGACAGGTTGGCTGCCGTCGAAATCGTTCCACCATTAATACTCTTAGTGCTTTTGAAATGGAAATCCAAGAAGCCTTCAAAGTCTTCCCCAGGGAGTAACACTCTTTTTAATCGCTATCAACCACCTTGTCTCTAACATCTCCCAAAATATTCAGTCCGTATTGTACGTTGACGACCTTACCATTTTTAGCCGAAACCACTCTATGGAAGCCCTGAAATATAATCTCCAATTGGAAATCAACAGGGTAGAAGAATCTACAAAATTAACCGGCTTCAAATTCTCAGCTGAAAAGACACATATGGTACATTTTTGCAGATTACGAACAGCACATCCCGACCCTATAGTGTATCTAGGAGGTAATCGAATTAAATGTCAAGAGCAGACAAAATTACTAGGTATTCATTTTGATAATAAACTAAATTGGGCGGCGCATATACATTACTTAGAGGCAAAATGCCACAGTCATTAATATTTTAAAATGTATATCCAGTATTAACTGGGGCTCTGACAGAGAAATTCCACTTAGAATTTATCAAATGTTGGTCCTGTCCAAAATCGATTATGAGTGCATCGTATACGGTTCTGCTCGGCCATCTAAACTAAAAGTCCTTGACAGAATCCAAAACACTGCAGTATGCCTAGCCACTGGCGCCTTTAGAACAAGCCCAATACAAGCAATTTTGACAGAATCCTCCTCAAAACATGTAAGATTAGGAAGGGAAATGAGTATGATTACGTACGGAGCGAAAGTGCAATCCATTCCAAACCACTTGAACTATCAGTGTTCCATAAACATGGAAAATACACATAGACCAACTACTACAAAACCGATATTTAAAGACAATTACTAAATACTCTTTGATTCTTGAAAATAATATATTCAAAAAACACTGCGACCAAAGCATTGCACCCTGGTTGAGAAATATTCCAAATATCCAAATAATGAGACCAATTAAAATTCAATATTTTGTTTTTCAAAGATTTATAGTTTATACTCGGGTTCTTTCTTTATTTCATTGGTTACAAAGTCTATCAGTGGAATATGTGCTATGGCTACACATTTATTTTTATTGACTAATTTTTTACTGCTCAGAAATATGTGATCAATGCAGCTACGTGAATTTCTTACAATTCGGGTGTAGCCATTGACAAGCGAAACAAAGTCAAATTCACTAAGAATATTCAAATAGTCCGAAACATTTTAATTTACTTCTTCATTTATATTAATATTTAAATCTTCCACTAGAATATGATTATCGATCTTCTTATTTCTATTTATTTGTTGTAGATAATTACTTGGACTGTCTATAAATTTACCTAGAGTTATTTCTACTTGTAATGCTTTTACATCGCCAATATTACTTATTTTATGTGAAAAATCGAACGTATCTTTTAAATACACAACTACTCCATCATTCTTGTTTATATCTCCCTCATTATATAATAAGTTATATCCGTTCATATGAAACAAGGAAATATCAGGAATATTGAAAGTTTCTGTAAGTACAGCATGACAGATATAAGTCTAAAGAATAAGTTTACGTAAACGTTCTTCATAAGTCCTTAATATATAAAAAGAAAGGTTGATTTATGGGGTTTCCGGTGGTATTGTAACGTTCATTTTTGGCCCCACGAATTAATAAAATTGTTTTGGCTTACCTGGTTAATCATACGAAAAAAAAGGGTAAAATCGTATGATTGATATCACTATTATTTTGGTCATTAACTAATTTCACCTGTATTCTAACTTTTTGACATCATTATTACAATTTATTTCATCTCACCACTAAGTAAAAGGATGGTAACCCTCCTAAAAATAGACCAAGTTTCGTTGTAAATTTATATATATTATGTATTATAGTCTCACCTTTGGGTAATTAATTATTTACGATACCATTATTTAAGATTTTCTTTGTTTATAGCTGTCAGAATTGGATTAATGTTTATTAATTATGACAGTGAATGACATAAACGTCATTTGACGACAGAACACCGACAAATGTCATGTTTGTAGTTCGTTCCAATATCGGGCTCAGAACCCGAGGTAAGGTAGTTTCACAATGAGCGATTTTAAGTCGTGAGGGATTTTGTTTTGCGATCGCTGTTGTGTTAATTTTTTGTCGGGAACAGTTTCCCAAATGTAGTTATACTGTATATAAATATAGTTTTTAGGGTACCTTTCGTAAATGGTCTGTTAAGTTATATAGTGGGGAATTCTTGAGGATGAATTTCTGAACCCACTTGACATTTATCGGAAAGGGATTTCGGCCATTTTGGACGGCTGACGTATTGTTTTTTTTCTGTCAGTGGGTATTCAGTCACGAGAGACGATTTTTGTGTCGAAATAGAATTTTCTTAATATTTAGCCCCATCGGCTTACCCTAATTAAAGGGGATTTTAGATTCTATTTCATGGTTAATTGTGGGTAAATGGACATTTCGTATTTTGAGGGGAATTTTAGTGAATTGGTAAATTCCCATGGTCATTGGTCCAGCCCATATCTAATATAGGATTTTAACGCAAGAATTGGACGTTCACAGCATTTGGAGTGTGGAATATTGTTGTGCTGTGAATCATCTCACGTGGTTCTCATCCTTGAAAGGCTACCAAGTTAACCCTTTACGAAAAAGGTATGTTTTGTATATATTAGGTTATGTTACCAACCATGTGTAACAGAATTTTAATTATTTGAGCTCATAATACTGTTTATGACTCACTGTTGAGCCAATGTAATTTTTCTTTATCCTAGATACTGAATATTTTCTAGTTTATGTACATTTTTGGGTAATCCTATAGTTCGGGATACTTGAGTCAATGTGTATTGACATTTTTCTTTGTAATATTTTAAGGGTTTAACCCAGGGGGTTGTTAGCCCAGGATTCGACGACAGTTTGACCCAAGGGATTGTTGACCCAGGATTTCAACAGTTGTACACAGAGGGTTATATCGTCCGGAGTTCAACGGTTTCATCGTGGACTCATCGAGGGGACACAGAACATTGGTATGCTAGCCACCTAGTTTACTTGTAGCTAGATTTACAAGAATGTTTCTTGTTCTGGATAGGAAGATGGGAATGCTGTGAAAGAAGACACCCTACTATCAGGTTTTTCTTATACGTTATATTGAAGGTTTCATGCGTGCATTGTTAAATTATACATTCACTTTCAACCGAATGTTGTCAAGGTATTCTCAACATTATTTATACTTTTGAGCATAGAATGTTCTAGGGTTCTTTCACTCATAACTTAAGTATTATCAAATGTTACATCGTTTAATTGATTAATATTTTAAATTTTTACTTAATTTAAGCACTTAATGCTGATGTAGTAATCCTTCGGGTCGCAGAACACTTGGACTGCTTCCACGTTTAAGTTGTAATTCTTCAGTTATTAAGGGCTACTGCCATAATTTTACTTTATTCAATTTATTCATTATTAAATGGACCAGACTTAACTATAAGTTAAGCAATCTCAGAAGACCCGTGTGGGGGCAGAGATTAAGTAACCTCTTCCAATCTGGGAGTTTAATTAAATAACCTCTGTCTAAAGTCCTTTGTATGTTGTATTTTTATTATTTTTTTTGATATTTTTATTTAGTTCTATGAATTATACTTAATTATAAAATTTCATGGTTTAATAATTTTCTTTTGGGTAGTTTGGTCTTAACCAAAAGTTAAGCAGATATCGCCTTCCAATTTGGAGAGGGTTATAAGATTATAAAGATTATAAGTTTACTGTTTTTATAATATATGAAGTAGTATAGGTACGGTGATGTACAATATTTAAGTTAACTATTATATTATATTTTTTTTATGTAAGGTGGAAATTAATGTTTTGCGCAAGCGTCATGCCTGGTACCAAGCTAACGACGAACCGTTCCATACTTTGATACATTTATTAATTTTTTTTGGTTATGCATATACATATACTGTGTAAGTTTTTTCCTTTTAATTTCCTCCAACTTTTTTTTTATTATCTAAGCCATCAGGTAATTAGTTTGTATATTTACTAAATATTTTTTTTTTCTTTATAAAGGAACATAAGTTGAGGTTTGTCTTTTATTTCTTTCCTCATTTACTGGGTTTTTGGGGAAATAGGATCATAGTTTGGCCACTATATAGACCCAGTTGGCGCCTATTTATTTGTCTACTATTTCCGGAATTTTTGTAAGCTATCCACCCCCTAGCTGCCGTCTGAGCGACGTCGAAGGCCCGAAGGTTGACACCGGAACAACCGAAACTTGTGTAACCGTAGTAGACAACATTTTTAATTGTAGT